TCCTTGGTCCCCTGTAAATCTGTCAGTTTCTGTGTCCCATATTTTAGGCATCCCTGTATTATACATCCTATTAGTCTCTGTATTTTGGTGTCTATATATACCCATTTCTGGGTGTCCCTGAATCTTTGTCTATATTCCCCTTCTATGTCCTTGTCTCTGTGTGTCCCTGATTCTGTTTTAGTGACTGCATACTTATTGTAGAATGTAATTGAGTTTTTGCATATCCTCAGCCTGTTACCTAGTGTCTGGGTCTCCCTCTGTCTGTGTGCCTATGGATTTCCATGTCTAGTGTGTGGGCATCTAATGAGTTTCTGTGTTTGAGTGTTTGTGCATCCCTTATTCTGTGTGTCTCTGAGTTTTTGGGTGTTCCTGATTCTTTGCATGTCTCTGAACCTTTGCTTGTTCCTGAGTCTTTATAAAGTCTTTGAGTCACTGTGCACTCCTGAGTCTGCATGTCCCTGAGTCTTTGCATGTGATCTAGTGCCTGTGCATCTCTGGGCGCCCATGAGCCTCTGTGTTGCAGTGTCTGTATGTTCCTGTCTCTGTGTTTCCCCAAGTCTTTGCATATCCCTGGCCCTTTGTCCTCCGGTGTAAGTGTGTCCTGGAGTCTGTTTCTTTTTCTGGGTGTCTCTCCCTAAGCCTCTGTGTTTCAGTGTTTGTGTCCATGAATCTGCCTATGTCTTCTTCTGTGTGTCCTTTGTTGGTGAGTCCCTGAGTGTGTGCACCTCTGGGACTCTGCTCTCCATATTTATTTTACTTCTCCATTTATTTTCCCCAGCTTTTACCAACATCTCTATAGTATTGTTTCTAAGTGTTGCTGTGGCTGCGTCTTAAGTTGTTTTGTGATTCAGTATCTCTCTTTATCAGTTGTTGGGTCTTTTTCTCTGGATCTCCATGACTGTGTTTTGGTTTCTATTGTTCTGCTTGTCAGGGTGTCTCTCTACATCTGTTTCTTTGTCCATCTTTCTCCATCCCTGGTTTTGTTTTGATCTGATTCACCACCACTGTATCACTGTCTCTGTGTTTGTATCTATTGTCTGGATCCACGCCTTTGATTTTTTTATGGAAATCAATTTTATTTTTAATTTTCAGAAGTAAAAGATCTGTAACATTTTAAACAAATTGTTAACAAGACTTAGTCGATATTTAACCTCATAACTGTTGGGGTCTGGAGTCGACCACCTCTCAAATAGACAGAAGACACTCACGATAATGCAAGTCACACAGCGAGATTTATTTCCAGCTAGCTGGGGTCCAAGTGTCTGCCCGATGCAGTGGGTTTCAACAAGGACCCAGAGCACTCAAAGCCAGGGGTTTATATGGCTTTTTCAAAAAGTACTTACTCACAGTAATTTTCCATAATTTTGGGCTAGTGCCACATCCTGGGGGTTAAGCAAAAGCAAGATAAGACCACTCCTCAAATGTTAGGGTGGTTCAGCAAGAGAAGCTGACCAGAGTGGCAACTGCCCACAACTCGGTATGCACGATTAGCTGACCAGGGTCGCAGCCGCCCACAACCCTGTGTCTATGATTAATTTGTTTTTCAACACCTGTTTATCAAGCAAGCCTTACCCAGTTCCTCCTTTCCTGAGTCACATACTCAGAAAATGGCTTTTCGGCCTTGAAGATGGCCATTCTCATGCTAATTCATTCTTACATTCCCCCCTTTCTGTTGTTACAATGAGGAATCCTGCTCATTTGTAGGGCAGGGCAGTCGTAGGGGCCCACAGGAGCGGGCAACTTTTCGTATTGTTGTCTCAAGAACAGGAGTTGGACGGTATTAACACGGTCTTTTACAGAATTAATAAGTTTGTTTAGAATGCAGGGGCCAAAAGTTAAAATGAATATAAGTAAAATTAATGGGCCAACTAGGGTAGAAACTAGGGTGATAAACCAGGGAGACCTATTAAGCCATGCTTCAAGCCAGTTTTGTTGTGCTTCTCTTTCTCTCTTTCTTTTGGTTAATCCTTCTCTTACTTTAGCCATGGATTTTTTTACTACTCCTGTATGATCAGCGTAAAAACAGCATTCTTCTCCTAGCGCAGCACATATTCCCCCTTGTTGGAGGAACAATAAATCAAGCCCTCTTCTATTTTAGAGTACGACTTCGGATAGGGAGGTGAGAGATTTTTCTAAATGACTAATGGAGGTCTCTATTCTCTCTCTCTATATCTTCATCTATGGCTGCTCTTGGGGATGTCATACCTGCTTGTTGAGTGGCCAGAGAGGCTATGCCAGTTCCGGCCCCAGCTAGTCCTAAACTGAATAGAGTAGCAATGGTTACAGCAGTGATGGGCTCTCTCTTATCTCTTAGGCTCGTGTGTCTTTACTCCAGTGTGAATATATGCTTTCTTGGGGTGGTAGAGGATGCGGGGTATCACAGTCACTAGGATACAGAACTCTTTAGAAGCATTAAGGACTGAGGATGAGAGGCACGGGGTGAGGCCAGTCATGGAACATATCCACCATCCATCACTTCCTGGGGTTAGCCACTTTATGTTATTCCAACTAGGGGCGGCATTTATGGAAGTGCATAAACTTTGTTTATCCTGTGGCACTTTCCCCAGGCAGGTCCCTTTACCGCTTATATGCTGTAGAGTTAAGCCTATTTTACGGTCTCCCCATGAACACTGAGAGGGATTCACACTAGTTAATACATTATAAGTGGCAGTTAGACCTATGGCTTCATAAAATGGAGGCTTTATATCATAACACAGCCAGCAGGAGGCTGTGAGGTCAGGGCTGGTAGCATTAAGGGTCTCATACATAGCGTGCATCAGTTTCCATAGGGGGTCCTCGGCAGCCTGCACAGCAGGTGCCAGGGGGGTCACAGAGGTACCTCCTATGGAGATGAGCCCAGCCATAAGGCCCAGCATGGCGAGCAAAGGAGAAGTGATTAGGTGATTAGAGGTGCTCACAACCACACCTCCCACCAGCACTGTATTGTGGATAAGAGTCTGGGGTTTTGTTACCTTTTTTGGGGTGTTCTTGTTATCTGGGCTTTTAGTAGGGGCGGGAGGAGGCCTGATTTGGACTTATTGGACTCATTACCAATACCTGATTTGGGCGGGGGGCGGGAGAAGCTAACACTAGATTTGGACCCACAGGAGCTGTGACTATCACCTTGGTTCTCAATTTGATCTGGAGAAGAGTTCCAAACATAGGTTTCTGATAGAGAAGTAGGCCCCAAGTTAACCCTGATAGCCATCGCTTGTCTCTTTTCCCTTCTTCTGTAAACTGGAGCTTTACTAGATTGCAGTTAGAATTGTACCAAGTTCGGGTGCATGGCTTAATAAATGAGAGAGTGCTGAGGAGCGGGGTTACTTGCCATTTTTGCTCTCCATCATTGGTGGTAACACAACTCCATTGTGCACAGTAAAGGGACTCAGCTCCTCCACACTGAAGCCCCTCTGGTCCTTTCCGAAACCCAAGACATGCATAAAACCCATTTCGACTTACAGAGATTCAGCACTGCACTTTACGCCAGCTTCCCCCTTTCATTCCTTCAATGTCTGCTACCTTGTCTACGTTCAAGTACAAGTCAGGGAACCAGGTGTTTAGTGGGGCCGTGCTGGAGGTCTCGTTTAGTACTGCATCAGTTTTTCCATCTGTCAGGATCCATGTCTGCTTATAAGGTCGATAAGGGTTGATCTCTGCGTGGTTTTCTTTCCAGTTGTTAAGCGGGATCAGGACTAGTAGCCACTTCATCATCAGGCTGGGCGGGAGGTTCGGGGTGTTCTCAAGGTATCGAGATCTGTAGTTTCAGGGGGTTATTAGGGTGCCACCGCACGGTCCGCTCCGTGGCTTGTCTTTGCTCTGGCTGGGTGGCTCGGCACATGTGGAAGTGGTGGACCCAAGGTCCAATGCCGTCAACCTTTAAGGCTTTTGGGGTAACCAGAACAACTACGTAAGGACCTTTCCATCCTTTTTCTAAGGTTCAGGTCCTGTGCCGCTTTACCCATACCCAATCCTCTGGGGCAATGGCATGTTCTGGGTTCGGTGTGTGTCTTGTCTACAAAGAGCGCACCAAGGGCCAAATCTCATGTTGGACTTCCTGCAGGGCCTTCAAATTGGCTAGATAATTTGGGGTCACATTAGGGTCTAGGTCCAGCAAGGCACGGATGATAATGGGGGGTGGTCTCCCATATAGAATTTCGAAGGGAGTCAATCTGTGCACATAAGAGGAGTTCCGAACCCAGAAGATAGCACAGGGTAGGAGGGTCACCCAGTCCCCACCAGTCTCGATGGCTAATTTAGATAAGGTCTCTTTCAGGGCCCAATTCATTCTTTCTACTTGCCCTGAGCTCTGGGGATTATATTCACAATGTAAATTCCAATTAGTCCCCACCGCTTGGGCCAGTCCTTTTAGGATTTTACTGATGAAAGCCGGACCATTATCAGACCCTAAAACCTCAGGGACCCCATATTGGGGTATGATTTCTTCTAGTAATGCCTTAGCAACAACCTGGGCAGTCTCTCGTTTTGTGGGGAAGGCTTCTACCCAGCCTGACAAAATATCAACAAATACTAGCAAGTACTTATACCCATACTTCCCAGGCTTTACTTCAGTAAAATCTACCTCCCAGCTCCGTCCCGGCCCCCTCCCCCATACCCTTGTTCCTGTGTGTAGGGGTCCCTTCCTACTGGGTCTCATAGCCTGGCACCCAACACATCGGTCCACGATTTCCTGGATCTGGACGGCTTGTTGTGGGAGCTTAAGGCGGGTGGACTCGAGAACTGTCAGCAACTTTCTCTTTCCTAAATGGGTGGCTTGGTGCAGGTTGGAAAGGAGGAACAGTCCTAGTTTTGCTGGCAGTATTAGTCTTCCTTCTGGGTCTCGATGCCACCCATGTTGATCAAGCTCTGGGCAGTGGTGGTTTTGGATCCACTGGAGATCTTCTGGGGTGTAATCAGGTCGCGGGGACAGGCGCGGAAGCTCCAGTGCTGGCAGGGCGAGTGCCAAAGCTGGTGAAGCTATTGCCGCCTTTTTTGCGGCCTCATCTACTCACCAGTTTCCCTCAGCTTCCGAGGTTCGGGCAGACTGGTGTCCAGGGATGTGAACCACTGCAACTGCCCAGGGCTTTTGCACAGCTGCTAGCAACCTCTGTACCTCTGGGAGATTGTGTAGTTCTTTCCTTCTGCTGTAACAAAGCCCCTCTCCCGGTAGATGGCTTCATGCACATGGACAGTGCCGAAAGCATAGCGGCTATCGGTGTAGACAGCCACCCATCTCTCTTCAGCTCATTCTAGCACCTCTGCCTGCGCAATCAGTTCAACTTTTTGGGCTGAGGTCCCCGGGGGAAGCGAGGCACTCCAGATGACATTCCCATCTTGGTCTACTACTGCCACACCTGCCCTTCGCATCCCGTCCATGATGAAGCTGCTTCTGCCAGTGTACCATACCAACTCACTGTTGTGGAGGGCAACGTCCTGAAGGTCAGGGCGCACCTGAGTGATCTCTGCCAGGATTTCTTGGCATTCATGCAGGGGGACCTCTAGATCTGGGGTCAGCAGAAGGGTGGCTGGATTTAGAACAGCAGGTTTGGCATAGATGATCTGGGGTGCATCCAACAGGAGTCCCTGGTAATGGGTCAGGCGGGTATTAGTCATCCACTTACCAGGGGGGTGCTTCAGGACTCCCTCGATTGCATGAGGAGTTACCACCTTTAGATGCTGCCCAAAGGTGAGTTTGTCTGCGTCTTTTACCATTAGGGCCACTGCGGCGATGATCCTTAGACATGGGGGCCATCCTCCTGCAACTGGATCAAGTTTTTTGGATAAATAGGCAACCGGACGCTTCCATGGCCCCAGGTGCTGCATTAGCACTCCTTTTGCTATCCCCTTCCTCTCATCGACAAAGAGGGTGAAGGATTTTAGGGGGTCTGGTAACGCCAGGGCTGGTGCCTTTAAGAGGGCAGCCTTGAGTTCGTCAAAGGCCTTTTGTTGATTTGGCCCCCAGGCCCAGGGGGCCTTATCTTTGATTGCTTCATACAGGGGCCCTGCTTTCTCAGCATACCCCAAAATCCATAGTCGGCAGTAGCCTGCCGTCCCTAGAAACTCGCAGACCTCTCGGACTGAGGTCAGGACTGGAAGCCTAAGAATAGTCTCTTTCATGGCCTTTATTAGCCATCTGGTTCCATCGCTTAATTCATATCCTAGGTAAGTGACTGTCTGCCTGCATATTTGAGCCTTCTTTGCACTGGCTCAACAGCCCAATTGCCCTAGTTTCTGGAGCAGGTGTCCAGTGGCCTGTCGGCATTTGGCCTCAGTAGGGACTGCCAGAAGCAAGTCATCTATGTATTGCAGGAGTGTAACGGAATCATGGCTCTGGCAAAACGAGTCCAGGTCCTGATTTAAGGCTTCATTAAACAGGGTTGGAGAGTTTTTGAAGCCTTGTGGCAGTCTAGTCCAAGTCAACTGTCCATGGGTTCCCGTGTTGTCATCATGCCATTCAAAGGCAAAAATGTTTTGGCTGCTGGGTGCCAGGGCTATGCTAAAAAAAGCATCCTTTAGGTCTAGGGTGGTGTTCCAAACATGTGAAGGGGGTAAGTGACTTAATAAGGTGTAAGGGTTGGGGACTGTGGGGTGGATGTCCTCAGTTCTCTTATTTACTTCCCTCAAGTCCTGGACTGGCCTGTAATCTTTTCCCCCTGGTTTCTTAATGGGAAGAAGAGGGGTGTTCCAGGCAGGGTTTCAGTATCCCAGCTTCTAAGAGGCAGTTAATGTGTGGGGCAATCCCCTTTCATGCCTCAGTGGACATTGGGTATTGTCAGACCCGAATAGGCTAGGCCGAGGCTTTGACTTCTACCACTACTGGTGCTCGGTAGGATGCCAGACCCACCCCCCGCTATTTCTACACATGCCTGAGGGCACATTCTAAGCCAGTAATCTAACTCATGGGGCCACTCTGTATGGGGAGAGGTGCCGTGCAGGGCAAACAGGCGATGCTCATCTGAGAGGGACAGGGTCAGGACATGAAGGGGCTGTCCTTGGCCATCCATCACTTTGATGCCATCTGGCTCAAAGTGGATATGGGCCTGGACCTTGGTTAGGAGATCACGCCCTAACAAGGGGGCCAGGCATTTAGGGATAACCGGGAAGGAGTGGGTCATTTGATTGTGGCCCAAGTCCACCTGGCGCTTACTGGTCCATCAATAAACTTTGGACCCAGTTGCCCCTTGCACCAGGCTGGTTTTCTGAGACAGGATCTCTGTAGGCTTGTTTAAAACTGAGTACTGGGCTCCTGTGTCTACCATGAATCCCATTGGTTTCCCCTCTACATACACAGTTACCCAAGACTTGGGGAGGGGACCCGAGTCCCATCTCCCCTAGTCACTGTCCATTCCTGCCAGCAAAACCTGAGCGTCTTGTCTGGTCTGGCCTGGCACTTGGGGCATTCCCTCTTCCAATGTCCATATTCTTTGCAGAATGCACATTGTCCCCTATCTAGCCTGCGCTGCGGTTTCCAAGGTCGGGCCGGTCCGGTTGGACCTGGTCTTCCCCAGGCTGTGCCTTGTACCCCTGCCAGCAGGATTCCTGCCATCTCCTTATGCTGCCTCCTGCTTTCCCTACCCAGGTGCTCTCTTCTTTCCTAATTCTTTCCTTCTACTCCTGATTTTCTTTTCTGATCCTATCCTCTCTTTCTTCCGGGGCCTCTCAAGTGTTGAAAACCCTCTCTGCCACTTCCATCAGATCTCGAATGGTCATTTCCCCCAATCCTTCTTGCTTATATAATTTTTTCCTAATATCTGGGGCAGCTTTGTTTATAAAGGACATAATTATAGCTGACTGATTCTCCTCTGCCAGGGGGTTTAGAGGGGGTATACTGTCTATAATCATCATAGAGGCATTCTAAAAACACAGCCAGGCTTTCACTTTCCCCTTGCATTACAGCTTTTACATTAGCCAAATTGGTGGGGCGGTGTGCTGCCACTCGGAGACCTGCTATAAGAGTCTGGCGGTAGACTCAGAGATGCTCCCTACCTTCCGCATTCCCAAAGTCCCAATCCGGTCTATTCAGGGGGAAGCACTCGTCGATCAGGTTTGGCAAGGTTGTCGGCCATCCATTGTTGCTGGGGACATTCTTTCTGGCCTTGGTGAGGATTCGCTCGCACTCTTCGGTAGTGAACAAGGTCTTAAGGAGCTGCTGACAATCATCCCAGGTGGGGTTATGTATATGCATGACAGACTCAAATAAGTCCGTTAGACCCCTTGGATCTTCAGAAAAAGGGGGGTTATGAGCCTTCCAGTTATACAGATCACTACTTGAAAAGGGCCAATACTGGTAAGATCGTTCCCCACCTGGGCCAGTACCTCCCAGGGCCCGTACGGGGAGAACGGGGGCCCTGGCTGAGGTGGAGGAGGACGGTTCCTCTTCTGAGGTCTCTTCCCTGTGCCTGCGGGGCCTTAATCCCCACACTGGTCCCTGGGTTGGGGCTGGGAGGGCTGACGGGGAGGCGGGCGAGTGAGGGGGCTAGGGAGGGGTGGCCGCCTCAGGTTGGAGCGGCGCCACAGGCACGTATGGAGGGGGTCTCTAGGTTTCTTCAAGATCTAGGTCTATCAGGGAGGGGTACAGGTCTGACCCTGCCTGTAAGATGGGTTTCTTGGATGGGTCCCCCGGGAGTTTCGAACGGGCCATAAGAGTGGGTGCAGTCAGGTGGTTGGGAGCCTGAGAGATGGCCAGTACTCGAGGAGGGGGGTTCCTCCGGCTTCTCGGAGACAAATGGCTTTAGCCAGGAGGGAGGACTTTCCACCAAAGCCTGCCACATCAAAATATAGGGATATTGGCCCGGGTGGCCCTGTAATTCGGGCCAGCTGATCACATCTCGGACTCTCTTAATAATGTCCAGGGAAAAGGTCCCCTGGGGTGGCCAGCCCACCTTCAAAGTAGGCCATTCTTTAGAGCAGAGGGTATCAAACTTACCTTTCTTTATTTCCATGCCATAATTGTGAGCCTTGGTGCGGATCTCAGGGAAGTGGCTCAGGAGCAGGGTTTTAGGTGTTACTTGAGCCTGTCACATTATTATTACAAAAAGAAGCCAGAAAAAGACAAGGGACACAAAGCCAGCAAACATACAAATTTGAACCGAGTTTTCAACACCCACCAGCCGGTCAGCCACACCACATCCACAGGCACTGTCTCAATCACACAACGCTCAGGATCAGGATCCTTACCTAGTTGTCCAAACAGCGTCCACTGCAGACGTCATTTGGGCACCGCCTCATTGGGGATGTCACCTGCAACTTCCAGTAATGGAGCCTCCAGGGTCGTAACGCGCTCCTTCCTTTCTGTGAGAATTCTCAATTGGGACTGGGCAGAGACCTGTTTCAGTCTTTCTGGTCGAGGATATCCTCCCCTCTTGGGACCAGGCAGAGACCTGTTTCAGTCTCTCCGGTTGAGGACCTGTTTCAGTCCTCCCTTCTTGGAGGTGGCCAAACCTCCTGCAGCGGCTTCTGAGCAAACCTCGGTATTCGGGGGGTCATCTGTCTCCCTGAGGAGGGGTCTAGCGATCCCGGATGAGCCCCCAAAATGTTAGGGTCCGGAGTTGACCACTTCTCAAATAGACAGAAGACACTCACGATAATGCAAGTCACACAGCAAGGTTTATTTCCAGCTAGCTGGGGTCCAAGTGTCTGCCCAACGCAGTGGGTTTCAACAAGGACCCAGAGCACTCAAAGCCAGGGGTTTATATGGCATTTTCAAAAAGCACTTACAGTAATTTTCCATAATTTTTGGCTTGTGCCATATCCTGGGGGTTAAGCAAAAGCAAGATAAGACCACTCCTCAAATGTTAGAGTGGTTCAGCAAGATAAGCTGACCAGAGTAGCAACCGCCCACAACTCGGTATGCATGATTAGCTGACCAAGGGTCGCAGCCGCCCACAACCCGGTGTCTATGATTAACTTGTTCTTCAACACCTGTTTATCAAGCCTTACCCAGTTCCTCCTTTCCTGAGTCACGTACTCAGAAAATGGCTTTTCGGCCTTGAAGATGGCCATTCTCATGCTAATTCATTCTTACAATAACTAAATACAATTATAAATTAAAAACATTGTTTTATATTTTATTTTCTCAAAAATACTCAAATACATTTGAATTGCATCCTTTAGAAAACAGACTAAAAGATACTTGCACTTAACAACTACGAAGAACAATATTCTAACACATCATTGTTTTCAATGACACTTGAAATATTGAGTTATGTGTCATTTAACTGTGGGTAAAATTGAAACATTTCCAGAATTTCTCACCTGACTTTGGTGCATCTGCATATCAATAGTTGTTCAGAGGTGTAAACAAGTAGGCTTTAGTGCATTTGCATCTTTCTTCAGGGGTGGAGAAGTTCATCTCCATATCAAAGGGTGATTACCTGGGCAACAGAGGGCTTATCTGTACCTGAGAGGTGAGGGGAAGGGCCTGTGTTGTGGCTGCTTGAGAGACCGAGAGAGATGGGCCAGACTGCAGTTTTGTAAGCAATAAACGGGTTTTAAACTTTATTTCTCCCTTTGACTGACTTCAGTTTTTAGAGGTATTTGCCCCAGGATTTCCTTTCCCTGGACTTATATAACCTATGTCACAGAATACAAAATAACAAAACTAAAATAATTGGTTCTCTAATCTTCAGTTCTGTTCCCACAAAATACCACTTCTCACAATGAGAAAACAGGAAATAACATACAAACAAAAGAGCTAACCTGAAATCATTTATCCACTTTATCAAAAGATAAAGGTGTGGGAGATCAGTATAACAAGAATAATTTATTTTTTACCATTTAACTTTAAAGATAATAAATAAAAATAATGTACAATCCCACCAGTATATTTGAATTCCACATTATATTTTTCCTGTTTCTTGAGGAAAGAAAATAGCCTGAATGATTAAGAGGAAGATGAGTAAAATATTAGTACTGAAAGACAATTTTGCAATCACTTCCCGAGAAGTATCCATAGGACCCTTTTAGAAAACACATTGCTGTCCATGACCCAAAATGTGAGATTAGATGATCCTAACTAAATACAAGGAAAAAAACTAAAATCATTTTTTGTACTTATTCACGTTGCTCCCCCAACCCAGAAATTCAGATTAAATGGACCTTAAAGATCACAATTTTATTTTATTTTGTTTTGCTGTATCTATTTTAGCAACTTAAAAGGAAAGCAACATTTTAAAATAAAAATCATAACACTGTTTTTGAAACTGCAACTAGAATTCTCACTGAAAGGGTATCTCGCCACGACCCTCCTTACCCA